TTGTTGTGATACAAATGTACATTACAATAATACCAATATATACCATCATAAAGTGTATAAAGTTTAAGTGACTTGTAAGTGTCCAAGTTACATAATATGTCATGGACATTGAACTGAATTTATTTTGAAGTTTTGAAAAGATAAATTCCAATCACTATTTATTTAAAATGTTTAAATGCATTGTGATGTGTGAAGAATGTACATTTTCAATAATATTCAAATATACCTACATAACAATAAACAATTAAATCATAAAGTGTATAAAGATTCAGTAAATTTTAAGTGACAAAGTCATATAATATGTCATAAATGTTTATCTGTACTTAATCTGAAGTTTTGAAAAATCAATAATAGTCATTACCTATTTATTTGAAATTTTGTTTTAATAAATTGTGAAGTACGTACATTTACAAAAAATATTCTAATATACATAACAATTAAATCATAAAGTTTCAGTAACTTGTAAGTGTCTAAAATACATAATATACCATCTAAATTAATTTTATGGTTTTGAAACAAATCAATTGTATTCATTATTTATTTAAAATGTTGAAATATAATGTGAAGTAGGTACCTATGTAGATTTTCAAAAATATTCAAATATACATAACAACACCATCATAAAGTGTAATATGTCAGTGATTTATAAGTGTCTAAGTTACATAATATGGCATGTACATTGAACTGAATTAATTTTGAAATGTTGAAAAAAATCAATAACAGTCATTACCTATTTATTTGAAATGTTGTTTTAATTGTAAAGTATGTAGATTTTTAACAAATATTAAAATATACATAACAATTGAATCATAAAGTTTCAGTAACTTGTAAGTGTCTATCATACATAATGTACCATCTAAATTTATTTTAAAGTTTTGTAACAAATCAATTACAATAATTAGGTATTGATTTAAAATGTTGAAGTAGGTAGGTATATTGTGAAGTAGGTATGCAGGTTTTCAAAAATCTTCAAGTATACATAACAATACAAACATAAAGTGTATAAAGTTTCAGTAACTAATACGTGACAAAGTTACATAATATGTCATAAATATTTATCTGAACTTAATCTAAAGTTTTGAAAAAATCCATAACAGTCATAACCTATTTATTTGAAATGTTGTTTTAATTGTGAAGTATGTAAATTTAAAAAAAAATATTCAAGTATACATAACAATACAATCATAAAGTGCATAACGTTTCAGTAACTTGTAAGTGTCTAAGATAGATAATATGTTACCCTAAATTTATTTTGAAGTTTTGAAAAATAATAATTACAACCATTATTGTTTTAAAATGTTGAAATATATTGTAAAGTAGGTAATAGGTTTTTAAACATTTTCAAATATACATAAAAATACAAACATAAAGTGTATAAAATGTCAGTGACTTGTAATAGGTAGTAGTGTCTAAGGTTTGCATATTATGTCATTCGTGTTTATCTGAATTTATTTTGAAATTTTGAGAAAAATCAATTACAATCATTATTTATTTAAAATGTTGAAATACATTGTGCATTGTAAAGTATGTGGATTTTCAAAAATATTCAAATATACATAACAATACAATCATAAAGTGTATAAAATAACAGTAACTTATAAGTGACAAAGTTATATAATATATGCTATAAACGTATCTGACCTTAACCTGAAGTTTTGAAAAAATCAATTACAATCATTATTTTTTTTTAAATGTTGATATATATTGTGAAGTATTTAGATTTTCAAAAATATTCAAATATACATAACTCTACCATCATAAAGTGTATAATATGTCAGTAACTTGTAATAGTGTCTAAGTTAACATATTATATGTCATTCACATTTATCTGAATTGAATCTTAAGTTTAAAAAAAATAAATTCCAATCAATATTTATTTAAAATGTTGAAATGATTCGTAATTTGTGAAGAATGTAGATTTTCAATAATATTCAAATATACATAACAATTCAATCATAAAGTGTATAAAGATTCAGTAACTTTTAAGTGACAAAGTCATGTAATATGTCATACATTTTTATCTGAACTTAATCTGAAGTTTTGAAAAAATCAGTAATAGTCATTACCTATGTATTTGAAATGTTGTTTTAATAAATTGTGAAGTATGTAGATCTTTAAAAAAATATTCAAATATACATATCAATATAATCATAAAGTCCATAACGTTTCAGTAACTTGTAAGTTTCTAAGATAGATAAATAAGATAATATGTTATCTGAATTAATTTTGCAGTTTTGAAAAAACCAATTACAATCATTATTGTTTTAAAATTTTGAAATACATAGTTAAGTCTGTAGATTTTTAATAATATAATAATATTTAAATGTACATAACATTTAAATCATTAAGTTTCAGTAACTTGTAAATGTCTAAGATACATAATATATCATCTAAATTTATTTTAAAATTTTAAAAAATCAATTACAATCATTAGGTATTGATTTAAAATGTTGAAATATATTGTGAAGTAGGTATGCAGGTTTTCAAAAATCTTCAAGTATACATAACAATGCAAACATAAATTGTATAAAGTTTCAGTAACTAATAAGTGACAAAGTACATAATATGTCATTAATGTTTATCTGAACTTATTTGAATTTTAAAAAAATCAATTACAGTCATTTCCTATCTTTTTGAAATGTTGTTTTAAAAAAAATCAATTACAATCATTATTTATTTAAAATGTTGAAATAGGTACACCTATTGTTAAGTATGTAGATTTTCAAAAATATTCAAATATACATAACAATACCATCATAAAGTATATAAAATGTCCGTGACATGTAATAGTGTCTAAGTTATACGTATTATAAAAGTTTTGAAAAAATAATAACAGTCATTAGTCATTACCTATTTGTTTTAAATGTTGAAATTGTGATTTGCTAAGCATGTAGATTTTCAAAAAATATTCAAATAAACATAAAAATACAATCATAAAGTGTATAAAGTTTCAGTAACTTGTAAGTGTCTAGGTTACATGATATGTTATCTGAATTCATTTTGAAGTTTTCAAAAAATCAATTACAATCATTATTTAAAATGTTGAAATATATTGTGAAGTAAAGCATATACAATATACATATTATTACAATATACATTATGTTAATTTATGTTCTGCTAATTAAATAACTCATAGAAAAGTATATAATATGATGGTGTTCATTAATGAACTTAGCAGTTCAATTAAGTTCCATTTACGTAGGTAGTACAAATTCTTCTAAATAAATAGATTACTAACTTATTATCTAGGTACTATCGGGACTTGAAGTCCACTCTTTGAACAATAAAATATAGTTAATTAACTATTGCGAAAACAATCATTGCCTACCTAACTGTATTTTTTTTATACAACCAAACAAAATATGGTAAGCAATTATAGATTGGTATTTCATTTTAGTTAATACAATTTGACATTAAATCGACAAAATATAACGTTTGATCAAAAAAAGACTTTTACATGCGTTAATTTAATTTTCCTTTTAATAGAAGTTTTTCAACATAATATTATAAAATAAAATATAGCTTATATACATAAAAAAAAAAAATTCACAAATTAAAACAAAATTAGGACAACAACAATTATTAAGTTACAATGTTATAACAGTGTTATAAAGAAAATTTTGGTATAAAGCACCGTTTTAAGTATAAATTTATGTTTTTTTTTTTTTTTGTTTAACTAAAAATAAAATATTACATTTGAATTATATATAGTAATGTAAAATCTAGAAAGAACAAAGAACAACTTTTAATCTATTATTGTATACCTCCTAATGTATATAAATATATATATTTTTTTATTTCTTAATCAAATATATAATAATACATATATATATATATATACATTATGACAATAGGCGAGTGTATTTGTGAAATTACTTTAAGTATTACCGTCAAGTTAAATCGCGAGAACAAAACGTTTTTAACAATCAATAAACTCCGTTGGTTTCGTCGTAGAAATATAAAACAGAAATGTAAAGGTATAATATTATCCCCGTTGGTTAACTCATTCTACTTAAAAATTGTAATAAAAATAGAAGTTGATAACGCAATAAAACGAACTCTGTGCATAATATTATTATCACGTCATAACAACTACAACTGCGCTCGTCGCATTATAATATTGTACAAAATTATTTTGATTTACAAACAGATAATAATATCATTGTAACGCCTATTTCAGACGAGTGTCGTAAACTCGTATTGTTATTCTTAAATAATAATATTATTACTATTAGTCATTAGTAAATAACACAGAAGCCAAACAAACAGAAGAAACGTAATATTTTCGCGTCGGCACCACCCTCTAGCATCTGCGCACATTTTTACATAACGACATATTATATTATTATTAACCTATTATTAGCATTTTATAATGATATATTTATATAATAATATTAGGTACCTATTTAATAATTATACATAAAATATAATAATGTGATAACTCTATTTCTACGCGCTAAAAATTGTATAGTAGTCATTTTAGACATAATACCTATTATTATATGATATTATTATTTATTAACTCCTTACTATACTAAATGTTTTAATACTTTTTTTTTTAATATTACGCAACGAAAATAAACAATATTATATAATCGTTTAAAACATATGTTATATTATCAATAAACGGGCAAACAACATAATATTATAATATTATTAACGCACTTTGTTATAATAATTTACACAGAAAAAAAAAAAAAAAACCAAACAAGGAAACAAACGGACCTCCTCTCTGTCGTATATCGCCACCCCCTCCCCAAAAAACGGGCTGCCACGCATCAGGGTGCAGGCGGCTATTTTCGGGGGTGAAATAAATAAATATATATATATTATATGCGTAATATTATATGTACATCGCGTTTTCGATTTCCGTCCGTTTCCTCGTCTGTTCGATTGGATCCGTGCGAGAGGGGGGGAGGAGGGAGACGAATATAAAACATCAATTATAGTCGTCGCCTTGCGCCGGACCCGACGACACCACCTGCGAGTGTGACAGCCTATTATGACCAGCCACCGGTCAATTTGTGGAACAGCTCCTCGTTCAGCGTCTGGTTCACCTCTTTGGAACGCATCGACAAGAATATGTAGCCGCCGATGAACTCGTGTATCACCTTGCAGTCGGCCGACTGGCAGGCGAATATTATGTTGCCCTCTTCGAACTGCACCATCATGTGCTTCACCTCCCAGTTGATGTTCCACGCCTGGACGGGGAGAGACAAAACGCGTGAGAAGAAATCATTTAACCGCGGGCGGGACTGTGGGTGGGGCAATGGCGAGAACGGAGCTTTGCGAAGCCGGATTCACCGCAGTAGTGAGTCGTGTCGTGTCGATCAAATCGCATTCAACAGTTGAGCGTATATACCACTATACCAAGGCATATGGAGCATATACAGCTCAACTCTTAACCCAATACACGGTTACCCGTTGTATACGGTTACCGAGCCCTCGCACGACTGCGCCGACACACGACTTTGGCTGCAGCGAATCCGGCGATATTCGCGGTCATGATGTTATAATATTATATACCTTCATTGTGTTATATCTCCATGTTTTTATGTGATCGCCGGTCGCGATGTCCATGCGCATCAGACGGTTGTACGCTATGCCCAGCAGCTCTTCTTTTTTGTGGCCCATGAACTTGACGACGAACAGCGAGATGCCGAACTCGGGCAACGACTGCCACGCTTTGATGTAGTTCATCTTGGCCTCCATCAAAGTCAGTTCCTTGAGGTTGGCGTGCGCTTCGAGTATGCGCTGGACCAGCTACACGAAAAAAAAAAACGATTTTTTAGTGTCCATAATGATATTATAAATGTTTAGTCAGTTGAAAAAAAGTCAGTTTATTTTTATAATTTACCAACTAGGTCACGTCATTATAGTGGCTGTGAAATCTCCAAATTTTTAAAATAATAGGTAACTATAAACGTTAAGTTAAAAATGTATCCTATACTTATAATATCATATATAAAATTAACTAAAGCGTTAGGTTATAAATTAAAAAAAAATAAAAATATAACTTTTTGGCTAGTTAATCTCCGGTGATGGGTATTCATTTTCATGGCCCGGTCGTGCGTGACCATACCGACAGTAGTGCTTACCTTTCCCTTGAGTTTTCTGGAAAACCTGTGCGGTATATAGTCCTCGACCGAGATGTCCAGCATGGACGGGCTAATGACGGGTGACTGGATGATCGACGGATGTTGCATCTCGAGGAACGCTTTGATCGATTTGACCTCAGACTCGTAAGAGTGATCCGACAACGGGCGCCCTTTGGCCGCCAGTCTGCATGCAGCCATCCATTTGGCGTACTGCTCCTCCTATATAATATAATATAGAAGGGTGAACAAAAGTCAACAATCATTTCTACGTTACAATATTCAATTTAGTAGAGGGTCTAAACACTTACGCTTTCGCATCTAATACACATCTCGGTCATGCCATCCGAGCTGGGCACTTCCAGCTTTATACCGAACTTGTTCTGTGAAATGTTCACGTCAGGTGTCACCTCGCATCCCTTGAGACTGACACTGTGCACGGGCAGTGCGCCTACTTCGGCGTCTTCCGCCGTCTTGTACATCCTCAAATGCAAATCTCGGCATGTAAACCAATACCGTTTGAACGCTTTCAGAGTAAATTTCTTGGGCCTATAAACAGAGAGTCGCACGATTATTACAATTACACCGGTTCACCGTGTTTTATATCAACCTAAGTGTATAGTCGACATTAATTACTCACTTCAAAAATCTCAAGTAATCGGACAACTCTGGGGCATGGGCCAAATTGTTGACATTGCTCTGTGGCTGAAACCCTTCAAGAGTAATTTGAAGATCCGACAGAGCAGCATCGATGTCGTCATCTCCACCCGTTGTCTCCAAAAGCGGTTGTGGTACACTGGCTTTTAGATTTATTTGAACCTGAAGTACAAAATAATTATCAATACATTTATATTCATGGTATTTCAACAAAAGTTTTCATTGGTGTCCAACGGGACAGTCGTAACAAGCACTAAAAATTATTTTAACTTTGAAATGACGCGATTAACTACACAGTATATATAATTATATGTAAGTATACTTGGATATTTATAAGCATTTTAGTATAATATTTTAAGCACGACATATGATTATGACGTACTTGTAGCGCAGCAAACATTAAAGCTTCCTCTTCTGTACAATCGATTTCACCACTCAACAAACTCCATTTGGCTTGTTCGTATATTTGGTTTATGCGAATAGAATCTAGCCTGGGATTCAAATCGTAGAAAGAATAAAATTTGAACCGCAATTTCAACAAGTCGTATTCCCGGACGCCTTGTTCCATTATCGATAGTGACGAGTCCAACCATCTGTAGGTTTACAAAACTTTTAAGTTATACCTTCGACGTTACTATAATATATTATACGTTAAGGAAAAATACTCACGCTACGTTCATTCTGGCTTTTTCCACCAGCGACTTCGGTTTCAAAACTTTGCTGCGCACCTCTTGATTCAACGAGAGTGGGCTGTTGGCCAAAGACGTATCCAGGGACCCGTTCAACATTTCCAGTGACGTTACGTTGCCGTTCATTTCCGGTTTGCTGTATCCTTTCTTCCAAGTGCCATTTTGCTGTGGAACGAATTAAAAAAAAAATAATAAAAATTGTAAAATACGTACTCTCACGTATAATGATATAATAACAGCCGCCGGTTTATAGCTTTTCGATAGACTTCTGTATATATAGGTGGTACTCACAGACACTGGAGAACTGATGGGCGTAGAATGGTGTTTCAGTGGGGCGCATATGAACGGCGAAGACGACGTCATGTCCAGACTTCCAGTGGATCCGGACGGGCTGTGGCTGTGAACGGCGAATGAGTTGGTGTCGGCCGACGGCGTTTGACCGCCGTTGTATTGCATCTCTTTCATGTTGTGCTTCAGGTGATACGGTTCCAGGGGCTTGCTCAGGGACAATTCTTCCGGGTGTCTGATATCTGCACAGAAAAATACGTTTTCGTAAATAAAAATATTACCCCTCCGCGTCGAATATAGAAGTATATAGCTGGTACTGCAGCTGCAGTGCAACAGGTAGTATACTACCTATTGTATATAGTATATATATAGGTATGTACGCCATAAAATCGGCTAGTCGGCGGATATAATATTATTATACTCACTCAGCTCTTTGCATATCTGTATGACGGCGTTGAATGTTTTTATAGAAAAGTCCACGCGCATGTCCACGTACCGGAGGTCGGGCAGCTGGATGCGTGCAGTCTTGTGCATCCTGGTGAATTGCAGCTTGGCGTCCGCTTGCACTCCGTACTGATCCAAAGTCGATCGGGTCCTGGTGAGCCACGAGTTACGGTTCGGCCACCAGAGAGCGTGATCCGACCAGTCCATGGCTATATCTGTAAAAAAAAAATTTCGAAATCAGTATTGACATTACAGTTTTACAACTCGTATTAGTTGGCCTACAAAATAGTGTATTGTATAGTGTTTGTTTGTTTTTTGCGTTCATTCGTAAGACCAAACGATTTTCATTAGGACAGTATTATTATGTGTTATAGCTGGGTGTATGTAATCGGTTGGTCCCCCGGTTCCTATACCTGGTTTCGTAATTACCCCTTACCAACTGCAGTAGTTATTCGCTAATTGCGAACGTAATATAATATAATATATTACATATAGGTATAGTACATAATATATATATATATGTCTAATAATATTACTGCCTACGACAAGAGTCGCCAACTTTTATGTACATAAATATAGAATTGTATACTGTAAAAGCACATATACGTGGTTATTTATGCATACAAAACTACCTACGAAATACGTTATATTTTTTCCTTTTGCGGATGTTGATCAAGTCCAGTTATATATTGCACACGCGTGCGTTGCACCGTTTAAGAGCCGTCGTCGAAACAAACGAATACAATTAATGTTTTGTAAACAATAAGGTATAATGAAAAATATAGATTCATGTCTGCAGTTTATATATATATATCAATTGGATTTGTTTGAGTTCTATACGGAAACGTTTTAATAGAATTCAATTTGCTTACGCACGCACAGTACAATAATCAATAAAATTATTTAAAAAACAAATCGATCGACGATTAATTGCAAGGCATTAATGCATCAATTGCAACAATGTGGGTAATAAGTATAATAATACGTGCAGAGTACATTCGTCTCGTCCGCACCGAGGTCATAATTTTTACGATATAGGTGAGAATTGGACGTATTTTCGTATACTTAACGACCCACGTGAAACATTTATGACTTATGAGTAACAACAAGATCTTATGGTCATCTCGTCTGAATTTATCATGCGTTGATTGCGTACGACTGTCATCAACGGCCTAACATTCCGAGCAATACTCATTAAAATGTATTTCATCTTCGAGGAATGTACCTACGCAGTAGTCTATATGTACGCGTCAGATTCTTCCTGGGTCGAAAGTACTTGTATATATATATATATATCGTTTTGCAGTAAAACGTAATTAAACAAAACTCGAAACGAATTTAATATTCTGTTTATTTCTATATACTCGGAACGTATAACCGGAAACCCGCCTAATTCTGGTACCGACTTTTTTTTCACTTTTATTCGGAACTCGATCGAAACGTTTCTTACAACAATATTATTCTTTGAGAATATAATATAGGTACTCGAGACGCCTTGACGTATAATAATAATAATATGTTTATATCAGTACAGTGTAATGAAACGATAACCTAATTAAACTCGCACATCACGCAGACGGTCGCGTCGACTTTCAAACAGCGATAGACGGAATAATAAATAGGGCAGGTCAAGTGTTTTTTTAGCATATAATATTATACAGTCGACGATCGGCGTGTGGAAGTCGTCGATAACAGTATACAATAATAATATGCACAAAATTTGCTCGAGTTTAATTATATAGGTATGCAGGGGGGAGGGGGCTCTTTCGAAAATTTAAATAATTAGTCTCCATTAAAACGTTGCCACGACGCGACGGCCGGATGAGGACCGCCGCGGAATATTATTGTCGCGGTGTACTAATATTATTATTAAATATTATGGTCGATTTGTGTGCTGCGAATACGAGAGACTGCGGTTCGAAATAATATACCTAATATATGTGTCAATATATGCGAGACAATATGCGGTTTTGCGGTCTGTTGCGACGGTATATCGTTGCAGCAACAGGTGCCGAGCAGACCGAAAGAATGACGTAGGTACCTACTACGATAATAATATCATACAGGTAGGTACGAAATGATATTGTTACGAGTGTGGGCACCTCCTACTTGTTATGTCACTCGCAAAAAAACCGCGAGTCGAGAAAGCTGCAGACAATTTGACAAATTTGACACTCTGCAGCGATCGAAGCAGGGGATGCGATCTTTCAGCTGTACAGGGTGACTCTTGCGGTGAAGGCGGTCGATCCAGCGTCGTATATAGTTGATATAATTTTGTATTATGACACGTCGACACTAGGTAATAATAATAATAATACGTCATCCTCATTAGGTCTCGTCGCGGTCGTCGTCGTCGTCGCGGTCGTACGAAAATAATAATAATAATAATAATATCGTGTACGCGCGGCGCAGGTATATGCGCGCATTTTGATATATATATATGATAGTAATATGAAGAAAAAAAAAACCTGCCGCGTGACACGGAATGAAATACGTCTTTGGTCCGGCAAGGTTATAATAATAATATTATTATTATTATTATATAGGTACGCCTTATAACAATTTACACACACATGGTCGCGCGAGGCTGCTGCCGTTGCCGCCGCCGCCGCAGCCGATTTTACCGTAAGCAAACGCCATGTATGGAAACTGAATTCTTCGTGCGGCCGACCGACCGCCGCCACCGGAGCAGCCTCTGTTCAGGAGACTTTCTCTGATTTTCGTCGTCGAGGTTTCGCACGCGTCTTCTCCGCCTGCGTGATTTGCCCACATATTACAATATAATATACATATTCGTGTCCTGGCAGACGACGGTGACGTGGGGGTAGTGGGTATATAGGTACTGTATATGTACTGTGCGGTGTACACCAAGGGTGGACGAGTTGATGAGTACGACCCAGACAAGTTGGGTTATAGTTCAATTGAACCGCCGTCGGTTAAAAGTCGACAAGAACTGAACAAAAAACAAAAATAATCGACTAGGTACAGTTGAGTTGAGAAATGTTAAAAATATAAACTTTTTAACTCGGCTTTTCGTCGAGGTTTCGCACGAGTCTTCTCCGCCTGCGTCTACGCGTGATTTACCTATACATGTTACGATATATATTCGTGTCCGAACTCTGGCAGACGACGATGACGTGGGGGTAGAAGTCAACAAAAACTGAACAAGTCAATGAGTCAAAAAGTTTAAAACAATTTACTTTTCATAACTTGATTTCGAACTTTTTGACGAGTTGTTAAAGTCCACCTTTGAGGTACACGGGAACAACTACAGAAGATGTCCACAACAGGAAAGTGCCCGGTGCCTTGGGGTATTGGCGTTAGTACTCGGCCAAACCGTATATTAAATTGCGACTAATAAGAACATTATAAAACATATTCATCTGTACAATAATTCTATTTTATTTTTTTTGCTATGGCATACCCGGGCGACTATTTAATAACATTATACGCTTGTTTTTCGATGATTTTCTTGACATTTTATCTCACTATTATAATACTATATGATGAGTATGATGACCGTCCGCCTCCCCCACGACTGTTGCGGCAGCGGACTTTCTCTGTCTTTCGTCGAGAGCTCTTCTCCGCCTGCGTCGTTATAATTACCTATTATAATGTCAGTCGTGAATATTCGACTTCAAATCAAAGCTAAAACCCAAAACCCCTCGATGTAACACATGGGCAACTAAACAGCAGGGCCGGTCGATCTCGGAGATTTCAAAGTCTCGGTACCCTTTTGTTAGATCACAATCGACAAAAGGTTTGGCCGCCCCTGAACTATAGTAAACGGGCAAATCTATAGGAAATGGCCAGAAAAGTGACGGGAAGGAGGTATTGATATACCCGTCGTGTTATCGTTGCGATTTTTCAACCAGGAGCCTAATAAGAATATAAAATATATCTATCTGTAATTAGTAATTACATTTTATTTTGTTAAAGCGTTTGTTACGCTCGAAATACGCTTTAATGCTCAATATATTCGCTTGTGCTTTGGTGATTTTTGTTAATGACTCGACTGTTATATTATGACCGGTTAAATAACGACAGATAATATAATATTAACTGATGCATGACAGTCTAAACGATATAACGCCCATACGTATAGTAATATATATATATCTAATGCTAAACCAAAAGTCAAGTGATATAATAGAATACACGAATGGCCTACATCAACAACTGAACCATAAGAAAATATACTCAAGACATAGACTAAGAATTCGACGCACTAAACCCGCGATGATCGACTCGCAGAACTACTATATATGAATCAGTATGGATGTTAGGCGCAAAACTAGTGCATACAAACGATCGAAGACAATTACATAAAAAATTGGTAGGTATATATAATAATATGATTTACAAACTGCAATGCCTATGGCAGCAGCAGCAGCAGAATCGTTTAATTATATTATAGTTTCACGAACTCGAAGACTACGTGCTCTCGACTTGCGTTGGCGTAAACGACTCGATCGACCCGAAAGCGACGTCTTAGCAATATATATGTACAACCTATAATCGAACTGTTACAATGTATCCAAGTCTTATACATGTGTAATATGAGCAAAAGGATCGCCCCACTCGGCCGTCCATATTTTGGCTTTTGCCCCTGGCAAACTCGCAACTATATAGCTATCTATTATAATATTATGCCCCTCGGAATCGGCGAACAGACAATTGTTTCCCGATTGGACGTTATTCCGGAATAATAATAATAGTAAAATATATCGTGATGGTTATTTTTTTTTTTTTTGCCTTCTGCCATCCGCGAGGACTCGCGAACGTGTTATAATAATCGTCATCGACGCGCTAGAGACCGACCAATGAAAAAGCTGCCCGGAGACCGGCTGCCTTATATGGGAGTCAATCCGGCGGTTTGGCTGTCCTTGCCATCGTGTCGTACTATATTATTTAATACTGCTGTGTATTATATGAATTTTTTTTTCCCATTAAATTACAAAAGGGAAAAAACCCAACGCGCATCGTCCTCTAGCGCGGCCACTGCGCGTGCAGCAGCCTTCCAGCCACTATTTTGTATAAATTCACAAACGTATCTGCAGTATCACAATATATTTTACACGATAGTAATATTATCGTATATACACGTATTATAGGTAGGTTCGCTGCACACCATTGCGAAACGCGGTTAACCATGTCGACCGAGGTTAGGAGGAGTTTTCGAGACGCGTTCGCGGGGACCTATCCGTCATCGTGT